AAAGTATAAATCGTAAATATTAAAAATATTTTTTCACAGTATATATAATATATAATAATATAATTAAGTCAAAAACTATTCAATATTGGACTCATTTCGAAGGTATTAACGAGACGATTATAATGGTGTAACTTGTTAAAATAAAAATGAATTTTGTAAATATGTTTTAATTGATATACGATTATGTATGTTAATTTGATAAATGTTTCAAATGAAACATTTAAAAGTGTAACTTTAAAATTATAATTTTTAAAAAATCGGTTGCGAGAGGATAAGTGTATGTGAGGGGGTGAGTGTATGTGAGGAGAGGAGGGGGTGAAAAAAATGAAAAAGTGAAAAAGTGAAAGGGTAGCATAAAGGGTATGTTGGTCATTTAGTATTTTAAGACTTTAAGACTTTTGCTAAATTTGCTTAAGAAGATAGTATAGATATATATACACACACATATATATAGGGTTGGATTCACGTGAGACCAATAGTTTTTTGTGAGACCCGTAAGACCAATTTATGTTCATTGATCAACTTTATAAGCTAATTATCTACTGGTCTAAAGTTGTACGGTGTCAATTTTGTGATTATTGAGAAGTCTCGTGACGTTTATGAATGTTCAGATTGTCAGATTGTATATCTAATCCAAGGGTTGAGAATTGATCTTACGGGTCTCATGAAAAACCATTGGTCTCACATGATCCCAAGTCTACATACATACACACACACACACACACACACTAGTGGTGTACCTGCGCGATGCAGCACGGATGAATCACAATTCTGAAACATTAGTTTAACTTTGAATCATGAGTTTGTGTGGTTATTTTACAAGTCAAGTAATATATAAAGTTGAAGGCTAATATGGTGTATTAGTAAGATCAATTGGAAAAATAATTGCTCACATGTTGAGTTTCTAAACTCATATAAAGTTGAAGGGTTGGAGTGGGTACATGCAGGATCTGAAACCCTTTCTGGTATTGTTGCTTCAAATTCCGGTTTACTTCAAGAGAAAAAAGAACTTTGAATTTGAATTTTGGATTCAAAATAGGAAACAAATAAAATGTCAAACAATTTTGTGAAGACCAAACATCCATTTTTCAAGTAAATATGGCTTACTTAAATATGAAATTTTGACCAAACAAATGATATGTTTTAAACATTTGTACATTATGCATAATAGTTTGTACTTAAGAGATTTTTGAATCTCTTGCATAAATTTTGCATAAATTGATAGTACTTTATTCTTTGAGACTTGTAATTAAGACTTTTGGTCTAAATGCATATTAATGTAGTATAGATATAGATAATTTGCAGTGTGAATGAAAGTTACAGTGAGAAGGTAAGAATGAATTTCCACCTTGGATCAATCATAATTGAAGATCAATACTAATACGATGCACCAGATCAATTCTTGTTTACTTATTTTATCGAATTTTTACTTAAATTAATCGTAGATTTTTTTTTAAAGCAGTCGGTTTGAGGCTCGGATACTGTTTTGTTGCCGAATGTAGTCACGTTCGAGGATTTATATAGTAAATTCGAAATGATTAATGAAGAAGAACAAGATGTATGATGTATGAATTATTTCTTATGTAATATAACTTTCATAATGGATGTTGAAAGAAAGTAGGTTTTGGGCCCAATAAGTTGGCTGGATACCATAGACTATAGAGCATAGATGTCCAAATTGGGACCACGGAGATGTTATGGCTTGATGGTCAGGACCAGTTATATATTTTTATGTCCGATCCTGACCCATAACATGTTATACACATTTTATGTGATTAAGGTCCGGTCGGACAATTATTATGTATAAGATTGATTTTTTAATTTTTTAAGTTTTTTCAAGATTTTATCTATTTAAATGTATTACTGAAAAGTGTATTACAATCCTAAACTTTAAAAATAGTAATTTTAAAAATGCGTAATTTTTGTACAAAAAAGATTTAAAAATAATTTTTTAAAACCGGTCTAGACCCAAGACCAAATTTTGGAACCGTGACTGGTTACCGGACCTGAATTAATCGTAGTATTTTTGATCGGAACCTAAACCGAGACCGTTCGACCAGGTTTAAACGAATCAATTTGGGTCGGACTGGTTCCGACTCATGACGGATTTTTGACCACCTCTGGTCTAGTGGACTCCCTATTCCCTAAGAATCTTTATTAATTTGGCACAAAAACAATGAGCCCAAAGGACCCAATGATCCCCAATTTCCCATGGAGCTACCAAAATAAGTGATGAAATATGGGAAATTTTCAAAAAAAAAACCCAACAAATTTAACCAAAATAAGTTATAAAATATAGAGAAAATTTTAGAAAAATCTAACAAACTTTCTAATTTTGAACGATTTAGTATCTAAATTATATTTTTAAATGAAAAAAACTATTAATTTTTTTGATTTTGATTGATTAAGTCTCTGAAATATTTTTTTGAATGAAAAACTCATTAAACTTTCACATTTTAAATAATTAAGACCATGATTTTTGAAAAATAAATAAATAAATCATCACACTTTTACTAGTCGGTTAATGTAACTTTTTTTGGTTAAAAAGATGTAGATAACCAATTTTTAGAAGTGCGATGGTTTATTTATTAAAAGAATGTTCAGGAACTTAATCAATCAAAATGAAAAGGTTTAATAGTTTTTCATTAAAAATGAGAAAATTTAACGGTTTTTTCATTCAAAAAAATAGTTTAAAGACTTAATCATTTAAAATAAGAAAGTTTAATGGTTATTTTCATTTAAGAAAATAATTTAGGGACTAAAACATTAAAAATGAGAAATTTTGTTGGATTTTTTTGAACTTTTCATTAAAATATATAATATTTTGATCGACAATATTTTTTATACTTTTAAGATAAGCGTTTGGTGGTAGGCTAATTTAATTTAAATTAACGTAATAATTTAAATTATATATTTATAAAATACGAAGTTACATGTGTTTTAAATCAACATAAAATTACAACTCAAACATAACGTATGCTTTCGTTAGGATCTTGTGCCACTCGGGTTCGTCAATGGTTAACGTATTTGCAATCGCCACGGATCTCTCCTTCGTCTTGAGAGGTCAAGTCGAGAATGCTCGAAAGCTTCACCATCGACACACCGAATTGGTTCTTGAAGAGTGAGGACTCAAATGACAAACCGTTGGCAACCGGTTTAGTCCTTGAGTCTGAGTAGAGCAATTGGTCGGTGGACAAGATCCCCATGCTTTTCTTTAGATTGTGGTAGTATTGTGTGTCGAACGTATTTGGCGTTTCGCCATCAAGACTCACGGTTTCGGATGCCCATCTACATTTCCTCCTCAAGTAGTTCAAGTATTTTGGATTCAACGACGGATCGGGTCCCTTTGTGCCTTTGTAATCATATAGTCGATGTTGCACCGACTCGCATGTTGTCCTCCCAATTGTATGTGCACCTGATAACCAAAAGTATCGCATGTTTTCTGATAAGTGTTCTTGAGAGAAGAGATTTGAACTAAAAACCCATATTAAACGAAACCAACCCAATGCCTTCCACACTAAAAACCCGAAATGTAGCCCACAAAAGTGCAGGCTAGCAAGCCCAAACCCCATGCCCTAGCCAGCCTAAAAGCCCAATCGGGCCAACTTTTTTTCAAAAACCCAGACCCGAAAAAGAACTCGGGCTAAAAAGCCCTACCGGGCCTATTTTCACACCGATCCATCGTACATAGATTTGAAATTAATTACCTGAGAGGACAACCAAATCGAGCACGTTGAGTCCCTTAGACTGGAAAAACTCGATAAGATTGGTGACACTTTCGGAACCCTTGGGGACTATAGTGGCTTCCTTGGCAAGCGAAACTCGACCGTCTTTCCTACCGAAAGGGATCATCCAATACGGCCCACCAACTAAAACCGTGGCATCTCGAGCTGCAGTCGTTAGGATATCGGCACACGACACGGTTTTTGGGCATTTCTTCTCGATCTCGGCTTTTATGTCATCAATCACTTCGAATCCTCTTAGTGACTTGCTCATATTCGATGACCTTTCGCTTCCTTCGTGATCCAAAAGAATCGATGCATCACAACCCTACACGAAACCAATTTCATCATTATTAATATTATACCGATTTGAATATATCGTACGATAAAAAAAAAATATATCGTGATACCAAAAACCGTACCCGAACGACACAATCGTGGTATTGGAGCCTTAGGAGACTAGGAGCAAGGGTGGGATCTTTGGTCACCCATTCTTTGACCTTTCTGTAGATAATACCTTCGACATCGGGACAACTCTCGTGGTACAACGAGTAGGAGAGATCATCGTCAACAGCCGAGAGGTCTGCCATGTTCGGTACCTTGAGAACCGTGGACGAATATTCGTTTGCCAAATAATCGTCTGCGAAAACCGATGCGATAAATGAGATTATGAAGATGGTGATGATGAATGTAGGAATCTTCATTGTGAATAAGTTGCAATTGATGGTATAACGATGATAAATTGTATGAATGATACGCATGTGTGTAGTGTGTGTGTGAATATATATATATATATATATACATACAAATAAGGTTGGTGCATGATAGTACGTGAGGAGCACTCTCATTTCATACAACGTGCAACACGAATATTTAGGATTCTATTGGTTCCAATTTCATACTACAAACTTATAAAATATTTAATAGTTATGTATTTTAAAAATACAAAACATATATTATCCAAATGTATATGCATATTCGATCATATTGTGGTATTATCAGTTTCAAATTCCTTTTTCAACCGAGAATGGAAGATTCCAATGGTTTTAGTAAAGAAACTATTGTGATATCGTTGTGATATTTGTGTGATAGAGTATTGAACACAACCCATGTGATATTTGTGTGATAGAGTATTGAAAATACAACCCTGTTCAATTACTCTATTATGATATCATTGTGATATTTGTGTCATAGGGTATCGAATACAACCCCTGTTCGATTACTCTAGTGTGATATTGACTGTGTTGTGATAAATATGTGTTACACTTGAATACAACCCATGTTCGATTACTCTATTGCGATATCAAATGTGATGTGATATATATGTGATACACTATAATCGATGACAAACAATAATCACACTGGAATAACCACCATCGATGAGATTATCACTTCCCTGATGATTGGAGTAATCATGATCGTGTTATTTGAATGTTATCATTTCAACTTCCAATTTTACCCTTCCACATCAAAATTGTGTTGATCTTTTGATATGGAAGGGTAAAATTGATGTCAAGAAAGTATGTTGATCTTTGCGTATTACACTGTAGTGTTTGGGGCGAAATACAGTCTGTTATGCCCAACCCAAAATGCGTTTGTGGGAGGTGTACATGTGATTTGGCAACAACGATTGCCGATATACGTGGAAAGGAACGGTTGTATGATTTTTTGATGGGATTAAATGATTAATATTCTACGATCAAAACCCAAATTTTAAGTACCAAACCCATTCCAACACTTGGGTTTGCCTACCACCTTGTGGCTCAAGATAAGCAACAACGCCCTCATAGCCGCATCAAGGAGGCCGATCTCTGAGACAGCCGCATTCCAGACCTCCCATATCTCGTGAAAACGTGAAGAACGGGGCAGTAGAGATCATCGAAATGATAAGAAGGATGGGTGAAAATGTTCACATTGCTACAAAACCGGACACACCATTGACGAATGTTTTGAAATCAAAGGGTATCCACCTTGGTGGGAGCAGAACAACATGAATATTGGTTTTAAATGTCATTTAAAGTTTTATTAAATTAATATATTACTAGTTTGTATTATGTGTAATTAAATAATTGTGTCATGTGACAGTTTCATAACCAATTTGGTGGTTATTCGACTAAACCATCACAATGGTTGGTAGGTGTCGCTTGGTATATGTATATGTATATGTATATGTATATGTATATGTATATGTATATGTATATGTATATGTATATGTATATGTATATGTATATGTATATGTA